GTGGGGACCTCTGTGCCCAGCCACGGAGGGATCAGGTGGGAGGGAGCTGTTGCAGGGTCTCTGCTGGGAAGCTGTCACAGCGTCGACGGGGTTTTCTTTGAAAAGCGGGCAGCGGAGGGGGAGAGACGCGAGGAGGGGAGAGCTGAACCGAGCGCTGCCATTCTCCGAGCAGAGCGCAGGCGTTCGCGATCCACCTCGCGGGAGAGGGAGAGGAGGCGAAGAGAGCGATCCCGGTCCCGGGACAGGGACAGGAGGAGGAGCCGTTCTCGCTCCCCGCACAGGAGGCGATCCAGGTGAGGGGCAGAAACGCCGCCGCCGGGGCGGGAACGAGCTGGAGAGCCCAGGTGAGGCGCGGTTCGGGCAGCACGGGGACGGTGGGAGCTCGTTAACGCTGTAAGAACCGTCTGCGGTAACGGCACAGGCGGGAAGCCGCAAACCCGCCTGCGTTTGCAACGTCAGGTCACCGAGACGGCACCGATCCAGCTCCTCCTCCCCGCCGCGGCTGAAGGAGAGGCGGGATGAAGAGAAGAAGGAGATAAAGGACTCCAAAAGCAAAGAGCGTCAGATCACGGGTGAGGGGGGGGATTTTCCTCCTTAAATACGTCCTGGGTTCCCCGCTTGGGCCGGGACCAGCCCAGCGGACACCCGGGTGCTTATTTAAAATGGTTTTGGCGAACCTCGGCAGCTGCGTTTGTTGAAATATCGTATTTTGTTGCCTCGGCAGAGGAAGATTTGCAGGGCAAGACGGAAGAGGAAATCGAGATGATGAAAATGATGGGGTTCGCCTCTTTCGACACGACAAAAGTGAGTGCGGATCGGGGCGGTGGAGCCCGCAGCTGCCTCCGGCGGGCTCAGTGGTGTCACGTCCCCTTTTTGGGGACAAAATGCTGAATTTCAGGACCTTTTTCCTTCGTGTCTTTCAGGGGAAGAAGGTGGACGGTGCCGCAAACGCGTACGCCATCAACGTGTCGCAGAAGCGGAAGTACAGGTTTGTGCCCAGCCTTTTTGTCGGGTAAAACAAGAATTTCTTTGATGAGATAACGCAGCGCGGAGGAAACTCCGCGGCCGTACGTCGAAGCCGCCGCCTCGGCGCGTGCGGGGGGGCGATCCGGCTTCTCGGGCCTTCGGAAAAAGGCAACATTTGGGGTTTTTACTGGCAAACGGTCCAGCCGACGCCTCGGTGGGAGGTTTCCTGCCCCCGTTGGTGCAAATCCCTGGGGAATTCGGTTCCCCGCGGCCGCCGAGCGCGGTTTCGGGCCGCCCTCGGCTGTTTCTGTGCAGATTTCTCCGGCCGTGGGGTTTGTCCCCGGCGCTGACGCCGGTCCCTTCCCTCCGGCCGCAGGCAGTACATGAACAGAAAGGGAGGATTCAACAGACCCCTGGATTTCATCGCCTGACGCCGGGCGCGCTCGGGGCAGAACCGCCCGCCCAGAAGGACTCGGCTTCCCGGCGCCGGCGCGGAAACCGGATTTGGGAGGAATTTGGGTTATTCCCGACAAAGCCCGCCGCGCTCGCCCTGCCCCGCCGCCGCAGCGCCTGCGCGCCGCCCTTCCCCGGCATCGCTCCCTGTTGGTTTCGCGCC